GTGACAATCAGTTTTGTTCCGGCAGTAAGCCCTACAAAACTTTAATCAACTTTATGCTAGCTCGGAATGATTAGTCTGTAGCTTTCTCTATTTTCTCTTTTGTTTTTCAAGTACTGTTTTCGCTAGTCCGGAATAACTATTCCCTATAGCCATATCATTGGACCGGCACAAAGCCCTGCAATGATAGTAAGAACTATTTTTTTTTCTTACGCTTTTTTTTCAAGTACTATTTATGCTAGTCCGGAATCACTATTCCCTTTAGCTATATCATTGGACCGGCAAACGCCCTGCAATGATAGTAAGAACCACATTTTTTTTCTTACTCTCTTTTTTTTTCAATTCAGTATAGAACAGTTACAGACCAAACATACCGCAAACATGTCCCCGTCACAATCACACAAAAATGTATCGTGACGGACGTAGTGACACGATAACACCTAAGTATGTAAACCAACAGCAACTCTACACATATCCTAGTGCAGCACAAACCAGCCTCCCTGCAACTCCATCTTCCTTTTCTGCACTAGAATAATTACTTCGCTAGAGTGTTGCAACGTCTCTGTACTCGTATTTTCTATATGCACAGACACGGCTACCTCTGACTGTCGCACGTCCTCATGCGGTTGACAGTGAACATCATACGGTCTATCAGTTATCACCACCTGCTAACAGATATTAACTCTTGTTAAATATTACAACGGTCGACCATCCCAGACTTCATTTAAATCATGAACGCGCCGATATGGCTACCTCCAGGCAAACGCACTCCAGCTTTCCGTTCTGCTGCGTCCGTGCCACATTCGCGCCAGCGAGCCGTCGCGCCGTACTAGCGCTAGCGAATCGTCGTACTGCTTTGCAAAATTAAAAGAAATCGAGATAAATGTATTGCGAACCATGAAATTCCGAGCTTCCAAAATTCATCACAAATTCTCTTAAGAAACGGCAACTGTATGGACATTTGAAAACATTGCAATAAACGGAAACTATGTGTAGAGACGGATACCATCACATATTTCAAAGGGAAGGAGGCAACTCCGCAAAATATACGAAAGCCGACCAAGCTTCAGACGTTCATTTACAGCACCAAAGGACCATGTGTTCGGCGGCCGCTTGAATTGCATTGCCGTAAGATCTGCCGATAAGTTACAGACTGTAGCGGTGTAGGCTCAATCTTACTAGCGCTCGGCCGTACCTGACCATGTTCGATTAGTCGTCACAACACCTTCCTCATTGATTATTGTTGTAGAGACTTCTACGAATCTCTCGACATCAAACGCCAATCTTGTCGACCACACAGTATTCGGAGCAAACTGCAACACTGATCAACACATTAGAACACAAAAATGTCACTTATTATTTTCAATTCCTAGCATGTTAAAGTTAATCCTTTATTGTAGTACAACCCTTAAAAGTTTTAAACTTCAAAATATAGCAAATGATAATCATGTTTCGCGTGAACTATCAAATTACAACAAAACGAGAGCAGCAGGAGCACCTGAGGGTTTACAAGCATCGTCGGGGTTGTAGTCATCATGATCTGCATGCCTGTTCTCTTATCTATCACACATACGAGGCCCTAAAACAGAAATACGTTCTCATACCTTGGACTATAATAAAGCACTTCGCTTTCACAAGTAAACATAGGTCTTCATACGAAGTATCTGACACATACTCTTACTTGAACTTGCGAGATCCCACGTTAACTACGTGAACCACATTAAAAACGTGAACCAGGGCAGCGCCTGCCAGGACAGAGCCTAATACATGTTCAGAAAACATTACCGTGCACACAGTATACGACTTCCGCGCACACAGTGTGACTCCCACGCATACAGAGTACACGACTTCCGAGGCATCGCCATGTACAGCATACGCGCGCTCCGGCATGGCGCCTGCGTATACGCGCATACGCATCTGCCGAAACCAGGCCATGTTACAGCTGGACCTGGCAGTCCGTTACGACCAGCAAGGCACACACACACGCACTTGTAATCACATCACACGTGCTACTGTAACACATAAAAGAAAACATTAAAAATACTCAGCCGGAACTTGATTTCAAGAAATGCAGCACTACTCTTGGTACACCATTCGCCTTTCTAGGGCACCAAATACTGAGCTGCGGCTACACGACAACCTCTGGTATGGTCCGATCCTCGTGTAAACTTAAATACTCTCTTCAATGTCAGAACTAATTGGCTCTACTTCACTTCCATCAGTTATACTTCGGTTTTCCGGCATTTTTCGCAACCAATTAAAAATGTAAACACTCATTCTTACAAAATATTTTCTGAGCCAATATTTAGGATAAATTTACTTTCCTCATGTATCTAATGGTGATCAGTAGCAGCGACAAATAATAAGTCCGCGGCGTCATAAGCCGACAGCATACTCAAAAGCGAGCGCTACAGCTCCACGCTTTCCACTAAACCATTCCAAGTTTGTCGACTACGTAATGCTCGGAGTAAACTGTAACACTTATCATCACATTAGATCACAAAAATACTACTTAGTGTTTTTAAGTCATAGCACGTTAAAGTAATCATGTTCTTTTTTTCGGTACATCGTTTAAACATTTTGAACTTTAAAACTAGGCCATGTAAATCACACCTCGTATCAAATTATAACATTACTTGAGCAAGTTAAACTTCCACTGAATGCAAACTATAACTCATTCAGAATATCTCCAACATTTCTTTCATTTGTTAACATATTTAGGTACGTCAGAAATAATGAAAATACTTGAGGGTACTTTTAATACAAATCGAACAAAAGGATTTATCTTTTGTCTTAAATAATTTCATTTTATCTTTTCTCTACACTTTAATGATATGACAATATCTTAAGTAGGACAGCAAATTTCATTACGGTATTTAACACAAAAAGAGATCCATCAGTGCGAAATTCATTATAGCCTTTACAAATGTAATAATTCCCATACTATTCGAAGATTATATGTGGGCAATAAGGGGGACTTTATCCCACTTCTGATGTAGGAAGTATAATGGAGATAGTACAGAGACTAATTTTGTAGTTAGGAATAATAATTAATTCATTTACACGAATTAATTATCCAACGAGTCGAGGATAAACTGTAACGCAATACGACAAGTGCACCGTTCCACGTCAGAGCCAAGACTGCCCTAACGGCGGCAGCTCCGTCCGCTTTATACAAGCTAAACGGGCGCTACCGCAGGTGCAATGGTGCAGGTGTGCGGAGCACGTGTTATTTACAAGAATTCTGTCTAGCTACACCGACAGCGCCGCACCTGCAATGGTGCTGGTGCCGTCATATATATTATTGAAGACGAGACGGGCCGCTAGTATCAATATATGTTACCTTAGTGTCAAAAACAATTTTTCAGCGGCGCGTAAAATTCTATCTGCATTGACTTTTTTCTCCAATTCTGGTTGAATATTAATAAGAATATAATCGAAGGTTTCGACACTCATTCTGGTATACTCGAAAAATTTTTGTGGATACATTCTATACTTCTCGTACTTCTTGTGGAATTCTCCATCTATCACCCGATTCCTATTTAAATCATGTACTCCACAATCTCTTCCAAATACTATGTCTTGAACCAAAAAACTATTACTTTCTAAGCAATATCGAGATAACTTTGATAAAGGCATTTCAATCTCGACCTATCTGGTCGCGGTGCCGAACGTGACTAGACTCATAGATCTGTATATATACTAGAGATAGATGCGCGCGCGACTCAATTTTTTTTTTTTTAGTATCGTGCTTTGCGTAACAGACGGCGCTTACAAAATAAGGATCTTGAAAAAAAGTGTAAAATTAAACACATAATATGTTGGACGCGATCCGGGGTCTTTAGATTCCGGGACCGCCCAATTATCCACCTGAGCTATTTTAACCTTAAGTATGACGGCGAAATTTGTTGTCGTATTGTAATAATATTTTAGCAGATTTTCATTACCTGAAAACACAGATAAAATGGCTTTTTCTAAAAATAAATAATGTTCAATAAATATTAGTAACAATTTAAGCGTAACCAGTGACCGCTACTAACTGCGTAGTGCGCGTGGATTATTGCGTATGCATAGACTTTATATATAAGTGCCCTCTAGTGAGATTAAAATAAGTAAAATAAGTCTAGCCTAGCGCTTAGGAGTGTAGATGGGAGCACATAAAACGTATCATTTTGTTCGTAAAATAATGTTCTAAGTTGCATGCCCATGTTCAAATCTTGTATTCCACAATGTCTTCCAAATATTATGTCTTGAACCAAAAAAACGATTACTTTCTAATCAATATCGAGATACTTTGATAAAGAGATTTCACTCTCGGCCTATCTGGTCGTGGTGGCGAACGTGACTGCCCGTGGCCGTCAAACCGCGCCGCGCGAATTGTCGCCCCGCCTGCCGCTTCGCCGTTCGCGCCGCCGATCCCCGTGGCCAGGCCGTAACGTATATGCTTGCTTGTGCAACTTTAGTTTGATCAAGTTAAGCACTTGTGCAAGACATTTTTTTGCTTTACTATTCCTAGTAAACAATATCAAAAACTACCTTCTCCACATAAATAGTATAGAAAAAAAAAAACTACTATAAATTATATATAATGTAAATGCCAAAAATGTTTAATATTCTGTTATTCAATTTAGTTTATGTAAATGTGAATTTAAATGTTATGTAAATAAAACTTTAAGTAAAATAATATATAAGAGCAAACTGTGTAGTGCATAGTAAAACAAAATGATGTTTATTGGTACGAAGAAATTGTATTGAAATTAAGACTGTTACTTTGTTGAATTAAAATAAATGCACAGTATACCGTTTTACCGGCTTAACGTACATGCAATGAAAATTAAAATGTGAGCAAGTAAGATTGAACGTGTAGCCGGGCCTTTATCCTTTGTTATATTTAATACTTGACATCTATATGAATAATAAAAGTTTTTCTTAAGATTTATTCTATCGATATTAAATTATTAATTTTATGCCTTTGTGCATCCCAACATCACAAGATAGACATCCTACCAAATAATTCTTTGGGCATACTCAAAATCTTTCCAATATATCTCTTTAGTGAAGAACACATTGAATGTGAGAGCATTTATAATTAAATACCAAATAAATTCAAATGAAACAATCTCATATGTAGGTCGTACAAAGCGAAGCCTGAGAATTATATATGGAACCAAAAAGTACCGGATGTCTATCATTTTTTGCAACGCAACCACAACAAAGGTACTATCAAAGTCATCATCATTCTCTAAACCATTTCCCATTATCTGGGGTCGGCGCAGTAAATCTTTTTGTTCCATTCCTCTCTATCAGCCGTCATTTCCATACTCACTCCTTTCATTCTCATATCACTCTTCACACAATTGATCCATCTTTTATTCGGCCTTCCTCTGCCCGTGTGTCCCTCCACATTCATATTCAACACTCGTTTTGTGACATGACTTTCATTCCTCCGCATCACATGCCCAAACCATGCCAATCTGCTTCCTCTCACCTTTCCTACCACTGGCGCTACTTTCAGGCTTCCTCTTATATACTCATTCCTTATCTTATCCATCCTTGTCACACCACACATCCATCGTAACATTCTCATTTCATTCGCATGCAGTCTATTTTCATCCTTCTTCTTGACGGCCCAGCATTCACTTCCATACAGTACTATCAAAGTATGGGAGGAAAAATGATATACAGTTTTGATCTTTCAAATTGTCATACAAACTGAATAGCAAGAAGACGTAGACGGGTGTTGTAGTGTATTTTGCATGACTGTACTTTCCAAACCAATGATTCCATATATAAAATGTGTAATGCCGATTATCAGCTAATAAATATGGATGAGTTATTGTATTGTAATGTACTATTATTATGAATAAAATTAAAAGTATCAAAGCTTTAGTTTTATTTGAGAGAATCAATTTTAAGGTTGATGGAACTTTTGCCAGGACATACGGTAGTCCAAATACACCATAGAACAACAAGAAATACAGTAATTGGGGCATATGAATGGCAGCCTCATGAGCCTTCTTATCTCCAACAACAATACCTTCGTTAATAATTACAAATAAAATGAAAGAACCCAACAAAATACCATGTGTAACCAAAAGTAGCCAGTCCTGAAATGTTATAAATTTTAAGGATGTCATAAAATTAGTAGATATGTGATATTTTGAAGCAATAAGAACATCAGTAATTCCATAGTATCGTTTCAACTTGGACGAGTCAATATCTTTAGCAATTACCGACTGTTGGTTTAACGTTGTCCTACTCAAGTAATGATTGCCAAAAACTCTGGAACTCCTTATAAATATATCTAAGGCCTTGTGCCCAAAAACCATAGCTATCCATACCACATTAGTCTGTCTCATGACCATGCTACACAATCCATAGACAAACATAATAATTCTATTTCTATTGCTAAAGCAAAGCCTTGTAAAAAGCCAGTAGGAAGGTCATAGACAAAGTGTCTGTATAATAGATGTGAGAGAAGAAGTACATAGGTGGTAGAATGGTCAAATTTAACGCTTGCAGTACAATCTTCACGGGACTCTCAGAGTGACTTCCATATATAAATCTCAACATAGATGAGAACAGTAATAAGTTAATACAGGATGCTAACAAGTTAACAAATCTCAAGTTGTATATGTTGCATGTTAAGTACGGTGAAACGAATGCTGTAGAGACAAGATATAATCCCGGTGGTGTAGTGATCTTTTCATTCCAATATGTGAAGTTATGGTTGCAATAGCTCATGCCCTGCGGTAAATGATATAGTTCATCTACAACTGTCTGTATGGTGTTGTAGATTTTGTTAAATATCAGTTTTGAAACTCCAAAGTAGGTCACAAGGGCTACTGTTAGTAGCGTGTAATATTTTGAATTCCTCATTTTACAAGCTTCCCGGATTCAGTTTCTGTAAGGAACAAAAAAAAGTATAATGAAGTTACAATTATTGCAGTAAGCCATTTTAATTACTTTATGATTTAAGCATAAGTAACCTGATGGATATGGACAACAAAACTTAAAAAATTGTATGTTTATTTATTTATTTTTAAAAAACTTAACCTCTACACTAGGATTTTCTTCTGTATCGTGGCGGCAGTTTACATACATGAATTTCATAAGGACAAATATCCAGACCAGGAACAATTATTTGTCGGCATTACAAATATTTGTTCCGTGCTGGATTCAAACCCGCGGCCTTTAGCTCTGCAATTCATTGCTAAGCCACAGAGTTCACAGAATCACTATACAAGCATATTATGCTTAACAGGAGTGGCTAACAGAAATAGTAGTGTTAACAGCACTGCTAGTATTCAATAAGACAATATGTATAGTACGTAATATTAAAAATTATGGTTACGGTATAAATCAGACCAATTTCAACCAACAAAAACAAATAACAACTGGTAAATTTGTTAATTGCAATACTAAGTGCTGATTCATCACGTGCTCGCCGGTGAAGGCAAACTTCGCGATGAAACTTGTATGTCTGAGAAATAATAATTATTTTGACGATGTGAATTCTGTTAACACGTAATTACCGAGTGGCAGACACTTCCTTGCCTCTTAGAAACTAAGGGAAGGCAGTGCAACGTAACTTCTAAATAAAATTACTACAAAACTTGTCGCGAAAACCCACAATTACCGTCTTTGCGCATTTATTGGATCCAACTGTTATTTGTAACACGAACCTGCTATGCAGCCACAAACTTTACCTAAGGCCATGCTATTTTGGTGTAAGGCAAGCGCAAATTTATAAAGAAAAAGCACGGTAGGCGCTAGGTGATAATAATAACAATACTACCGGTAAATAAACCAAGCAACCAAAAAACTATTTTTACTCACTGAACATCCAATATGTAGATTCTAATACATTTTCCTGTCTATAAACACAAAATACAGTTCATTATTGCATTTTACTATTTGATGTTTATTGAATCAGTTCTATTTTATTTAATTCGGACATGAAATCACATGAAATCATGAGCATGAGGGAACTTAGGCTTGGGCAAAGACTATAGTTATATAGTAATCAAAGAGTATAGTAACTGTACAGGAAGGCTTGGGTAAAAAAAATCGATATATCGAAATATCGTTTTTTGCTCATAAAATATCCATATATATATATATATATATTGTCGATAGTTTAAATCGCGATATATCGATATTTATTTAAGAGTATTGAATTCGTATTTATTTCGATATATTTTAAAATGTTGTATACAAGGACAAGGACAAACATGAAGCTACAAAAAAATTCATGTTGTGAGTTGGTGCGGTTGCCGTTTTTGTCATTCATTAAATTTTGGGCCTTATCCTAGTACATATTGATATTTATCACACGATATACATCGATGCTGTTTAAAAATATCGATACGAAATATTTTTTTACTTGCTCATCCTTAAGAGAATTCTTATCTAAAGATAAATATTTTATGCCCGGGCTACACTAACGAGAAATGCCGTTAATTATCGCGTTGATGGGCGTTGAATGTAGGTGTGGCCACCACTTAACGCGATAATTCTACAACGGCAAGAATAATGCCGTTGCCGTTGAGCGATAACTCGAGTGGCGATACATCAAAGAGATTAACGCACGATTTAACGCGTTGAAGCGGCCACACTACGTTGCTTAGGCAATGATAAAATATATTCATATAATAAAAATTTACACTCATCAAATATAGAGTAGCAGCGTCAACGTTCATCTTGCTTGAAATTCAAGGAATATTGACGTAAAATGACCATACGTCCCATTTTGACCGGGCTGTCCCTTTTCTTGGTCACCTGTCCCGTTGTCCCCAAATAAAGCTCCGGGACGCAAAATAGTCCCGTTGTCCTAAACCGCGAGAAAATTTAAAACTATGAAGTTCGGCAGACACGAACGGTGCGAGAGCGGGACCGAACAAAAATAACCGAATGGGATAATTTCAAAGTTTTCGCAGAAATTCGTTGGGTGGAAGTATTCAAACATTTCTCACCAACAATCTTTAACATAAATTCTTTTGCATTTTCATCAAATATATTTTATGTCTACCTGGTGCAAATGCTCCAATAGAAAAAGTATTTTTCTGTTATGAATAAATTGTGGACGTCTGAAAAAAATCACTTACAGTTCCAGTTCTAAAGGCGATGTTGATAACAAAAATCAATGTAAAAAAAACTTGCTCTTATTTAAAATCATCACCAACTTTATTAAAGCAAATTTGTTCCACTGACAAATATAAATATAATTAAAAAATATGTTGCATTTAATAAATACTGTCTTAGGAAGTTTGCTTTAATGAAGCTGGTGAACTGGTGATTAATTTTTATTTTTCACAATTTGTTAAAATAAAAATAATTATAATTAAGTAATGTGATTATAATTATAGTGAACACTAATTTTATAAAGTTACAGTTTTTAAATAAATAACATAATATTGTTTTTATTGGTAACTTGCTAACTGGGGAGTATAAATAAACCCATGTCCCGTTATGAGTTAAAAATTAAATGGTCACTATACTTTAACGCCGTTCAAAACGGCATTGAAATTGAAAAAACGCTGACCTATCCAAGTGTGGTCACTCAGTTTATCGCGTTAAAATTAAGGCAATAATTGTTGCGTTTATGGGCATTGACGTTTCTCGTTACTGTGGCCCCAGCATTAGGACTGCTGATAAAATATCGATATATCGAAATATGGATATTACTATTTAGAAATATCGATATTTATTACTAATATTTTTTGGCCGGTATATCGATAGTTTGATATTAAAATATAGATATCGACGTTTTTTAAGTAATAAGTTTTAATTTAAATTTTTTTCTAGTAAATCATTTAAACTACAACACCATCTACATTTTACTTCTGTACTATCAGAATCCTCATACAAGCATTGCAATCTCTTTATAAGGATTCCAGTGCTTGTGTAAGGATCAACGGGGCATACACTGAATGGTTTAGAACACAGAACACTAATACCCTTAGACGGGGTTTAGTATCGAAAAAGGTGTTAGACAGTTATGTGTAGCATCACCGTGGCTGTTTAATCTGTTCATAGACAATTGCTTGACAGATTTAAAAGAGAATGAAAGTGGGTTGAAAATAAAATGTTTTCTCTATGATGACGACCAAGTATTACTTGTGTCTTCGGCCGAGGAGTTGCAGGAGATGGTAACTGCTATGAGTGGATCTTTTGTTAGAAAGGGAATGAGGATGAATGTAAAGAAGACGAAAGTGATGGTGTTTGAAAGAGATGAGGCAGTGACAGACTGCAATATCGTGATTGGAGAAGAACAAATTGAACAGGTGAAAGAGTTTGTGTATCTGGGTTCAAAGTTTACGAGAGATGGAAAGTGTGAGAGTGATATCGAAAGAAGAGTGAATGCAGGAAACATGGTGAATGGACCTTTGCACTCCTTTATGAGCAGTCGGAAGATGTCTAACAAGGCTGGTTTGGCTGTGCATGAGGGGGTGTTGGTTCCGACACTCATGTACGGAAGTGAAAGTTGGGTATGGCAGAAGAAACATGAAAGCAGAATGAATGCAGTTGTGATGAGAGAGTTAAGAAGTATGATAGGAGTTCAACTGAGTGACAGGATAAGAAATAGTGAGATAAGGAAACGTTATGGTCTGAAAGAAGATGTAGTGACAAAAATTGAGAAAGGTATGCTGAGATGGTTTGATGAACAATTGACGAAAAGGTGTATAAGGCGAGTGTGAATGAAATTGTTGGAAGGGGTAGGCCTAGGCTCACGTTTCTAGATCAAATCAGGGACGTCTTAAAATAAGGCCAGATCAAAAGTACCCTAAATCGAAGAGCATGTATGAAGGGAATAATGAAAGTAGACGAAGCGAAACAAGTATGTAAGGATCGGAGCAAGTGGAAAGAAGTGGTCTCTGCCTACCCCAACGGGAAAGAGGCGTGATTATATGTATGTATCAGAAATAGCTGTTAAATATTTAATTTGTTCAGCTACATCTGTAGCATCTGAACGAATTGCTTCTACAATCAAACTTTTAGTGCCCAATAATCAAAGTCAAACAGCTGAATCAGCATATAAAACAACCATTATTTTTGAAAACTCTTACTGAATAATTTTGGTAGACATATTTGTCTTATTTCAATTAAACAATAATTACCAAAAACTATAACCTAACATTTTCATACATTTGTAATTTAATTTGTTTACTAAATATACTAAATTATAAACTGTGTTAATCATTTTTGAGCTGACCTACTATTGTTTTTTTTTTTTTAAATAGAGCCGATATATCGATATTTTTTTCGATAGATCAAACTCCAATATTGATATATTTATAATTATCAATATAACGAAAATCCGATATTTATAAAAATATCAACAACTTTAAAATAAATATGTAGTTATGTAGGAAGCAAAGCTACTCTTTACTCTTGTCCATGGACGTATACTAGGAGTGCTCGACATAAATCGATATTTCATAAGATATCGATTTATGTCGAGATTTAACTCCGCCATTGCCGGTCCCAAGCCCGGATGAGAAAGGAGGAGGGGACGGATCCGCCGGAGAGAGTGGGTGTATCCGGTGGACTAACAAACCCACCTGCGCTAGGACCTGCGCAGTTGAGCGCTGTACGCGGGGATGAAGGAGTCTTGGAGGGTTGAGCCGATCGTCGCTGGGGTATATAGTGGCGAGAGGCAACACGCCCTCTTTGGTCCGGATTTCAAGCTAAACGGTAGCCCTATCTGCTAGCCACAGACAGGGTAATGGCCAAGCGTCCCGTCAGAGGGTCGCAGGCGAGGGATGTGGGGGCTGCCTAGTTTTCCTGAAAAGGGGGCTGGGTGGTGGTAAAGGCCATGCTGACGGAGCAAGTGACAGTTTATTTGGGTGGTGGGGATGGGCCTTGTCAGCCCCATC